TTTAGGTCAGATTGGTTTTATCCAGTGATGTCGGGAAGATTGACTAAACCCCATTTCAAACACATTAATAGCTATCTGTTTTAATTTGCTTTTCTGAGAGAAGAACAGAAGAAGCACAAAGTAGCTGGAAGTTAGTCCACTTAGAGTGAAGGATGTGTTAAGAGAAGCCAGATTACTTTGCGGGGCTGAATATTTAGGAGAATACGAAGGGTGAGTACCATTTGCAAGCTATTTGGTAGCCTAGAAAGTTTGACAGAAAAACAGTTGGGTCAACAGTTATGAACACATTTAAGGATCTCTGAGCCAGTGCATATATAGCATATCTCCACTTCCCTGTGAAAGGATTCATCAACATTTTACTGATTAGTTACATTTACAACCTCTAAATACAACATATTTTCCTACAATGTCATTAAAAAGATCCAAAACAAATAGAGCAATAATGAAATATAGCCCATATATATATATATATATATATATATATATATATATATATATATATATATATATTTTTTTTTTTTTGAAAAATTAAAGGAAAGAAACTGTTAGTGGCAGGAAAACTAGAGAATTATGTGGAGATTCAGCCTCCTGCAGGCACTGACTTTAAACATTTTGACAGCCACACTGTAATGCTTTAGATCAAAATATACTCCTGCTTCCTTTCACTTTGTTTGGGGTGTAGTTCAATAAATATGCAGATTTCTTATAATCAAATATAGAAAAAAAACCCGGCTGTAAATACAACAAAACTTTGACTTATTCCCAAAAAAGTATCCCTAGATATGATCCTGCCACCACCTTTCAATGCATTGGCACAATTTATTAACTACAAATTAACTTTTGTAAGGCACTCTTTGTAACTACAGCCAGAGTAATCAACTTTACATTCTAAAAGAAAACCGATATGTGTGTGGCTGCAGAGAGAAAAGCCTGACATAAAAGAGATGTAAATCACTGTCATCTGGTTTTGACAGGCATGAATTCACTTTTTTTTGCAATCTGGAGAAGATAGGACATGAGAAATTTTTAAAAATTTAAGAAGATCCCAGCGCTTAGTGAACCTTCAACTGGGTTTACAGTAGATTTCATGGTCCAGAAGCTGTGGTCCTTATAGGGAAAGTTAAGGTGACTAGATTTACATTCTGGGAGCTCAGTAAGAATTTAAATAAAATGTTTTGTTGGCTAATCAATACTAGATATTCTTCAACATTCTGGACCCTCTACTTGTGTTTTACTGCTTAAATGAAAAAAAGGGAAAAAAAGGTAAAAAAACAGAAAAGACCTACGGTGGTTTGAGCAATATTCCAGTGGTTTGGACACTGGTTTATCTCTGTTTAATGATAAGTAAAGCAGAGATGACATTAAGATCCTTCTAACCAAAATGTCCTCAAATACTAAAAAATACTAGAAAGTAATACCACTTTTTTGTTGTATGTCTTTTACCATGTCCATTGGTTGTGCTGTTATTTTTACATCTCTTTGCAGGTGATGAAGCAGACTGAAAGTGTTTCATCGTTATCTCCCTTTTACCTCCTCTTTCTTTCACCTTTTCTCCTTTTTTTCCCTCTTTCTGTTTTTCCTTTCCTGTTCTACTAACATTGCAGTCTCCATATAATCTGTAAAACTCCCTGCATAATTATTAAAAAAGGTATTTATATGCATAAATCAAGCAGTTGACTATGGCGATAGCCCTACTGCTCCACTTGGGAAAGTAAAATCTGTTGGGCTCTTTTTGGCATCAAGACAATTATTCTTATTGCCACATTGCCAGACAGGACACTAAAAAATAAAAAAATAAAATAAAAAAATAAAAAGCTTGTTAACTCTATGCTCTTTGTCTAAGCGCATCTACCCTGTGATATTTCTATAATCAGTAAAGATTGTAGATGTACCAGACAGGCCGATCACTAGCTAAGCCTAGACATCTTATATACAGCAAATTACGTCAATGAGATCCTTCTGGAAGAAACAACTGTATTATAACAGAAAAAAACAAAACCTTTAGGCTTTAATTAAGATCATGATAGATGTTGCTTTTGTGGATCTTCTGACAGATATGGCACATTTTACCCAGAAAATTGGCACTTTCCCCCCTTTGATGGTTTCTTACTGAGTTTGTTTAGGTGAAAAAAATGAGATTGTAGAGAAGAAATTGTTTGGCAGACAGATGATCATTTGAAGAATATAGCTGACAGGGTGCAGCTCTCACTGCAAAGGAATGTTTTTTTGTTTTTTTTGTCTTCCAGCTGCAACAAAAAAGAAAATGGAGACAAGGTAGGTTGATACAATGAAGAATTAGTTAACACTGCCATTCATAATTAAAATTAATATATTCTCTGAAGACAATCCCTATCGTTAGGATAACAAAAGCCTCTTCTAGAAAGATACTTATTTCGATGAGACATGGCGAAGCAGCAAGCAAGCCCTTCCTTTCAAAGCTTTAGTTGCTGATGCAGCCCACAACCCATCACCCACACCTATCGAATCCGACTTCAACAGGCCTTCACACTTACTTATCAAGTGTTGCTTCTTCTCCTTAAAAAATATAACAAAAATACCTCTTTTTGTAACTTTAATACTATTTAGGTCTAAGAAACCAACAATATCCTTTAAAAGAAAACAACCTGACTATTTTGTTCAAATAAAATATATCTTTGACTGGTTTTAGAGTGTATATACCTGAAGTTAGGATGCTGAAAATGTAGAAAATAGAAAGGCAAACGGGACAAAATGTGTACTAAACCGATTTATGTGTGCACATGGGCATAAATGTGTACTAAGCTATTCTATAAATGAAGCATGAGATTCAGATTGCTTCATGAAAGAGGTTAATGAGACAGAACGCTTTCAGTACCTGCATGTTGGTATGCAGCTACAAACAGGTCAATACAGATTGTGTTTGTGGTAATAATGGAATATATAGAGCTGGGTGCATACCTGGAACCATGTTCACACCAGGTCTGTTGCTTTGGAGTCTCAGTAAGCCATACGCCGTACATTTCAACCAACCTAAGAAGCCAACAGCATTATTTGTATCCAATTTAATGTTTGACTCTCCTCACTCTTGTTCTGCCCACCTTGCCTGAAATTACAGCACGGAGATCCCATCCTCTTAATTAAACAAGGGCCCCTAGGACTAGGGATCAAATGTAATTTGTAACGATTTCCTGCAGCTAAGACTTTGATTATACAAGCGCTCTATATGCTGACCAAAGGCTTCTGATTGCAGTTAATCTTCCGTTGAACGCTATTAAGAGTCTCCTTGCCCCCGATCATGGACACCTCCAACATTTTCCCACAAACCGACCTCACACCTACTCTCTGCTGTCAGCCAGCTCCTTCACTGAAAAAGTTCTACTATACTGTCTTAAATGTCTTAAAATCCCTTTCTATTGTGTTACAGTGTCAGTGTTCATATGTAGCTTGGTCTACATTTTATCAGACTAAAGCAGTTAAACTGAACAGCTTCTTGCTGATGAAGATTCTCAGTCATCCAGGTCATAGTCATTCCGTAAAAATAAAAAACAATCCACTGGACTTGGTTTCCAAGATTTGAAGATGTTTCGCTTCCCCTCCAGGAAGCTTTCTCAATTCAAAATTTTTGAATTGAGAAATATGTGGAGTATGTACAGTAATATGACACTGCCTCATCCTCACCAACTGCTGGTCAGCTGGCTGAACATAGGCTTCTATACGCTTTACATGCTTACAAGTAACAAAACCTCAGCTTCTTCCAGCTGAGAAAAAGAAACCGACTGGAAACTATGGTTAAGAATCATAGTTCATAGTTCTTACAGATGTAAGAAACTGATATTTCTTACAGATAATTTTCTGTGCAGCTGGGAAACCACAGCTAAATTCAGCAGGTGTTAATTAATCTACCATTTTTGCCAGAGGTCTATGTTAAAAAATAGGACAGTAAATAAATGCTGTAAATAACATTATTATAGTAACAATCAATATGTTTTACTATTTATACCTGTCTGTATAAATGTTCATGTTTTATTAATCTGTTTTGGATCCTGTTGCATAAATCTTTACTGAAGGTTATCATCAGAGCTCCCAAAATAGTGCCACCGCAGTAGAAAAAAAGAAAAAAGAAGATGAGTTGGTTTGCATATCTGGCTATGAAGCCTCCTGGACACCTTCCAGGTATTATGTTAAAGCCACAAGCAACAAGGAGACACACTGAGGACATGCTGGAGAGATTATGTCACTTGACTGACTTTGGAAAGCCAAGAACCCCCAGAGGAATAAAAGAAGGAGAAGGTTTGAAAAGCTATGATTATGCTGCTGCCTCAACGACCCTGACCCAGATAAGTGGTAGAAAATGGATGGACGGATTAAAAGTGTTGAATGAATACTGCATGCAGATCACTCTTACTACCAGCTGTATCAGTCACATGCTCATTGCTTAAGAAGACACGGTTGAAACAGAAGTCAAACACGCAAAAGAGAGCTAGAGGGGCCACTGAGAGCTGGCACACTTTTCCACAGCTAAGCATAGCTTTGCTTTTTCTGCCAGCATCCACTTGGACCTTGTTTGACTGAACTGTTCCACATTAATACAGTTTGCATATTAGTAGATACTGTAGACATTTGCTGTTAAATACACAGGTTCATGGTTAACCCTCCCATCACCTTTGGGGTCAAACTGGCACAATTGGATGTTAGATTTAGTAGTAGGCTGACATCTTATTTTTGCTTTATATTTAGGGTCTTTTACTAATCTAAAAGGAGCAAATAAGTAAAATTAACCTTGCAATATTTGTTAATGTCCTATAAAAGCATCAGCTTCCTTAAAGACCCAAGGCAGTAAATTTGATGGTAGCAGGAGGTTTTAATATGAATAAGCCCCTAATCTTTAGAAATGCTTTTTGTAGTACTAGTGAATTCTATTTTGCAAGTGGATAGAGGGATTTGGATGCAGAGAGACATGCAGGTCCCCAAACTCTGTGTAAAGGACTGAGTCTTCCATAGATTGGTTAAATGGCTCTTACGTTTACGGACTCCCGGCCACTGTACTTCACCCTGATTCTGGGCTCCTGAACAACATCCAGATTGGTTCCTGTCACAGTCAGAGGAGTGTGGCCACTGTGGAAAAAAAAGAAAGAAAATTAAACCCAATTTATTTATATTGTAAAATGTAAAAAAGAAAATCATCTTGTAAATTGATTCTTAGTAATCTTCTTGACTGGGTTCTTTAGGCAAAAAAGGCTCAGGAAAAAAAAGCGGAAACTAAATAGTTTATAGACATTTTTTAGAAAAACTTTCTAACCTTGATGTACATCTTCAAAATGTTCCCAGTCAGATGAAAATTACTGTATCAAAAGGAATCCCATTGTTAATTTTTTGTGTGTGGAGGTAATGGCCTCTGGTGTGAAGGATGATTGGGGATGAATTTTAACAAATTCCAGTTGTAACCATCAACTGGCACAGAATAGAGTTTAAAATACAAAGAAAGCTCAAGCATATTCAGAAGAAGTGGCTGGTCAGGGTTTATAACAGAGGAGTAAAAATGACGCTAAAGTGTTTAGCCCTAAAAACAGAACACCTTGTGCTTTACTCGTGGGCCCAAAAGGCAATAGGGAATCATTTAGAAGACGGGGACTCTTTACCTGGAAACATCTGTTCAACCTTTTGTACATTCTGCTATGTTGTAAACCCCAATTTCAATGTATTTCACTGAAATGTTATGTGAAATACAAGTGTCACATAAATATCATAATTTTATATCACCAATCATAAATTGTTTTTACAATAAAAAATGTATGGTGTGCCTTTGTATACAGTCTCTGTTGATTTGGTGCTCGTAAATAAATTTTAACTTTTTGTACCTGGTCATAAAAGAAGAGCGTATTGTAAGTGATGTAAAAAGATTTTGTTGGCAAATGAAAACAGCATAAATAAAAATGTCATCCCAAACAAATTTATCAATTTATTTAATGTGTGACAGGCAGTTTGAGAGGGGCCATTAAAGAAAGATGATGTTCTAAGCCACAGTAGTCATCACATTTGACAATAATGATGAAAATTATTTAAGGTGCATTTTAAATAAGTGCTACAAACAAAAGTAAAAAAACAAAACAAAACAAAAAATTATATAGATTATATTCCAGTCAAAATTTTTTTTAAAAACGTTGACTTTTTTCTGATCTTCGCTAAGATTTACTGTACAGCAAATTATACTGTAAACAGCTGGATTTACCTTTGCCAACTCCTCACAATACCTGCTCTACACAAAAGTATGTTTGAACTGAATTCAATTAAATAATATTGGCAGTATATCCTCCACAAATAACTGTGTGCAGTTTGTTCATTAGAATATGATCTGCATATTCATAGAGGCTCACACAAATTTCTTTACACCTTGCATCACAATCCACTTTTTACCCGCAAACAAGTTTGCACATGTTTTACAAGCAAACCTTTTGAAGATCAGGCCCTATTAGCTGTGGGAAATTAGACTTTCCATCTATATAAACACTTCAAGCTGGTGGTAACATGCTGGGTGTTTTTTCTTACTTTATTTGTTTTATATTTTTTTAGGTGACGGGTAATTTTTTTAAACTAATAGGAAGATGAAAGGAAAAAAAAATACTAATCCACTCTTTAAGTAAGCCTGTTTCAGGCTGCAAAAAACCTATGATGGGTAGATGTTTTTATTCTAGGAGGATTAATGAAAGCACTCAAAAACTCCTACAATAGATCGCTTTAACATCAAAGTATGTTGGTGTGTTAAAAGAACAGGAAAAATGTATAGTCTCTACAGTATATGTTCAAAGATAGTTAACCCATGCCGCAAAAGAATTGCACCTTTGACTGCAACAGTGGAGGAGTGACTCATGGTGCTGTATGCAAATGTGTTGCATTTTTTTCAGATTTCTTTTGCACATAATGTTGAAAACCATTTTTTTCACCTTTTGATTATTAAAAATCTGGTGTTGATTCCAATAATATCCATAAATCTCAGTAACATCCATTTAACTTTGCATATACAGTGAAAAGATGTGGAAAAGTTCAAAGTGCATGAACTTTAACACCTACTTATAGCACCTTATATGCTTCGTGTTCAGGTTAAGGGTTATGTTCTATAGAAGATATACTATATTGGACTCTAAAATGGATGCATTTCTTACTTTATTTATCTCCAATGTTAAAGCCATAAAAGAAAACATTTCCACAGATGAATTGATTTCACGGTTGAATCTCAAACTTTAACCTCAAGCCTCTTCAATCTGTTTGTTGGGTCTTTTCTATCAGATCCAGACAAATTGGAAAAAAAAAACCTGAACAGAAACTGGAGATGTAGTATTGACTCCTGTCGGCTTCCTGCTGCTGACCTTAACTGAACTTGATGAAGGTGAAATTTTTAACCCCTTTTAGCGAATGTGAGGATTCAGGTAATTTATGTAAGGTGTAATTTGGGTTACCTTGCAATGCTCCAGTCTGGTTCGATTCGCTGGACAGTGGGGTCCTCTATGTACTCAAAGGTGAGGCTCTCCCTGATTTGCGCATTATCCACGCTCACGCTGATCTGAACCAAGCCGACCCCCGACATCGATGGTGCTGAGTAACAGATTATCTCCTTCATGGTCCGTCTAAAAAAAAAAAAAAAAGCAAGGAACAAACAAACAAATTTAGACCGGTATCAGTGAAGTGCAAGTCTGCACACCATGGTACATCGGTGCATGGGTTAGAAAAAGAATATGGTAAACTAATGATAACCTGTCAAAAGCTATATTACCATCAAAATAATTCAATTTACATAAGCAAAAGGCAACAGCAACTGAGTATATCTTGCAATTTGTTACACCAGCCATGTTCTGTAATTACCTGAATAACAACACAGCGTGAGCAAAGCTGCAGCCCATGCACACACTTAGTAACTCCAACACTTGCATGTCTTTTGACAATATACTTTCCCAGCACTCCATTATCTACCTGCACACCCACTGAATCTGTATCAGTTCATTAGCAGTAGGGACATTGCACATTGCCCCACCCTCCTCTTCCTCCCATGCAGTAGCACAAACCACCAATTAACCCCATATCTCATTAAAAATGCCCTAACTCCTGAGCCTTACAACATCATAGTCACATTACTGTTGCAGGGCTTAAAATAGGCTCCTTCAGGAGTGAAATGTAAAAAAGAGGGCATGTGGGAGTATCTTGAGTTATGAAAACAAGGATGGTGAGGAAAGGAGAGAGGCAAGTATGAGAGGGAGAAAATAAAAACTGATGTTGGGTTGGGGGTGGGGGGCATAAATAGACCAATGGGAAGATAATGAGAAGAATGGGAGTGGATGGAAATGAGTAAAGGGTTTTCTTGCAGCTATTATTCAAAGGTTTGATTAAGATTTGCTGTATTTTCTGACAGCAGAAGGGAGGAAGACTTTCCTTAAGGGAATTCTCAGTAAAAGAAAATGAAAATAGGGGAAGAGATGAGAATTAATGTGTCTTATATAATGGCATGATTCATAGTTAAAAGAAAAAAAAACTTTAAATTGCTCACAGCAAGCCATGTGCAGCTCTGACCACAGTACCAGGAACACCTGATGAAAGAACTTTAAAAAGTCTGAAACTAAATTAATGTGCAATGCAGCAGCCTGATCTGACACAGCAGGACTTTACTTAAAAATACAACCTTTAACCTTCCTTTTTGATCCACAGGCCATTAACATGTGACAAAGTTCCATGAATTGATGCGGTTATTAAAAATAAAAAGAGTTATTGGCATCTTGTCTTCACATATATTAAAGTTGTCACATACAGAGAAAAATCTGTGACTATTCCACTTTGCACAAAGTCTACACCATTAAGAGTCCTGGCTTCTCTTCAAGATATTAATCTCTTCAACTCACTCTTTAGGTCCTTTCCTAATGGTGAAACATTTTTATCTAGAGGCCATGTTTCTATATATATTTAGATTTGAAAAATTTTGATTTTTAAAGGAGGTTATTGTAGCCATCCACTATAATAAGGTTTCAACCAAAAGGAAAAAAATCTATGGCATCACACACCCTCCACTATACTTATCATGTCAGAGGACATGAGCTGCTTTCTTAGACATTATTTTGGTTTAATGACAAACTTGTCAAATGTCTATATTTTTGATGGTAGGGGGTTTACATCCAGGCTTTTGTTATGTTATTTTTTTATCTATGCATGGAGGAATAGATGACAATTAAGCAGAGGCAAGTTACTAAAATATATGCATGTTTAATGTTCATGTCCCAGTGATAGATGGATTACGTAGTTAGTATTGTCTTTTTCTGAAATGTATAATATGAGAATATGGTATTTATATAAAATACTATCTTCACCAGTTGTATCACAAATTTTGACTTTATGCAAGATTTCTATGAAGATGTTCTTCACATACAATCTGGTCCATATCTATATAGGGCTAAGATATGGACCAGAGTAAATCCTATTATCTCCACTATCCTTCAAAGGAAAATGAAAATGAAACTTTTAATGTCCATCAAAGGAAAGCTATGTTAGATTTGAAAGATAGTGGGAAGTCTCACCCAAAGAACTCGCACGTCTGGTTCCCAAAATGAACGTTGACACTGCTGCCGGCACCAAGATTTTCTCCCATTATGGTGACTTTGGTGCCCCCAGACTCTGGACCTCTGCTCGGGGACAGGCCTGTGATGGTTGGAGTCTACAAAAACAGACAGATGCAAAGAGAGAAAGTGGTTAAAACAGGCCTGAGAGCCATTTAAAGCCACGGGAAAGCACAGAAGTAAGACACCAACCGACAGATTAAGGGATAGGTACTGTCAAGAGTCAACAGAAAGGCATCCCTGTGGTAACACTTGACAACTTTATATATTATAACAGATCCCAAGCAAATTATGGTTATTCATGTTGCCAGGCTGATGGCAGCCAAGCGCAGTGCTAGTGGGGGGAAAAAAAATAAAGAGGATAAAACTAGAAGCTCTTAGAATCCCTGAGAGATCCAACTACAGCATGTTGAGCTCTGTAGAGTTGTGTCTGAGTGAAGCTTTTTAAAGATGCTCTGAAAATAACTAGTGTTTACAGCAGCAAGCAGCTACGTTGCCATCATACAGACAGATGGAGAAATATCCACGTAGACAGCTCGTCATATGGGACATGAGAGTAGTGCACACTTACACTTGAACACGTGTTCATAGAGAAATGAACACATTTCTACCTGCTCAAACATCTAACTTCAATTCTTGACCCTATTAATGGACAGTTTAGTGTCCATAAATAGTTATGGTTATGGTTAATAACCATTTAGTGTCAGGATTCCTGCTTAAACAAAAACTATCTCAATTGTGACCTCTTTTTGACTCTGCCAAGTTAAGAGTTTTCAGTTGTGTAATGAACCGGAGGAATTGAACAGGTTCACGTGGTGAAACCAATGACTGATACGCCAAGAACTGATACGTCCTCTATGATATAGCTAACTGCTCGAAAAAAGAATCAAACCAGGTGCTGTTAGAACAACGCAGCTAATTACAAAACGCTGTTAATTGTTACGAGAAAGCTAATTGTGGAGGTGTGATAGAGTGTAAATGGGATCGGAGACATTCTGCTTGGTGCAGGTTGGGAATGAGATAAAAGATGCAGGAAATGTCTGAGTCAAAGGATAGATGGCAAAAAAAAATATTTACAATTCCACAAAGTTCTTTGTTTATTTATCATGCTTGCCAACCAATTAAATCCTGTTTTAGCACCCAAAACAGTTCATATGGTCACTATTTAACAAACTTGACATAAAATTGTGAGAATTAGGGCTGCACAATTTTGCCGAAAATCAAAATTTCTATTTTTTTCAACATATATTTAGATTTTTCTTTACCTTACCCTGAAAGCCTGCTTGTCCAGAACCCAATGTTGCAGGACTTCACTGTAACATTTGCATGAAAAAGTTCCTACTTTACTATAATGCATAACTCTAGGTGCTAGCTGCAACCATCTGTTCCCTTCTATGCGACAGCATACTCACTTTTACTCAAACACTCATATTACTGCCACCTAAAGGGCTTACTCATGTTAAATGTATTGTGACAAAAAATTGAGTACCTCTACGATTTGAAAATTGCATTTTCCTAAATTAATGCCCTGAGATAGACTGGTGACTTGTCCAGGGTATACCCTGCCTCTCGCCCGTAGGCAGCTAGAGATAGGCACCAGCACCCTTCGCAACCACGCTTGGGATAAGCGTGACAGAAAATGGATGGATGGATTTTCCTACATTGCGATTGTATTGCAAATGCAATTATTGGCTTAGCCCAAGAGGGAATCTGATGTAAAGAAGTTGAGAGGCCTAAAAGTTGTGGCAACAAAGTCTGGCCAATTTCCAATTGCATCACAGACTCTTTGAATCACTTCTGAGTAAGAGTTAGAAACATGTGGTTTGATGCATGAATTGGTAAAGTATTGCAATCCCTCAATTTTCTTTAGGATTACATAAAACTGCAGATTCTTATACAGCAAAATTATATCTGAATGGGATATGTGTCAAGCTATAAATGGTGTTAAACTGGGTTTATCCCAAACTATTAAGCTACCAACGAATGGGTGCTTGCTTCTCATGAGTCTAAATTAAAACGAAAATCTAGATGCAAAGAGGCAAAATCCTACTGCACTTGCATTTCAGTATGCTAAGAACATCTATAGTGCAAATTCTGGAGAGATGGTGGAAAATGCAGTGCCTAAAGGCCATCCCTAAAAACCTTGGATCATTGTTTGTTTTTGAATGTTGACATTGCCTTGCAAAAATATTCATAGCCCTTAGGATGAAGAATCTATTGACTAGACAGCTACTAGCCATTCACTCTACAAATCTTCTTTGTGGAGGAGTGGCAGGGAGAAAGCCATTGTTGAAACAAAGCCATCTGAACTTTGATGTCAGTCAGAAAAGATATAGGGTACATAGCAAAAAAAAAAAAAAAAGGGATTTAGAAAGACACTGTTTAGATGAGACATGATTGTAGTCCTTTTTTTCTCCACCATAGAAGATGGAGAACTAATACTCCACATCAATCTGAAACGATTTCACAGCACGAAAAAATGATGGAAGCAGTTGTGGAGATGCTCTCTATCTCTATAAAATCAGATTGAAAGTAGTTTGCAAAGAAGAGAGGTCCATAGATTCCTCTGTAGACATGCAAAGCTTATAGAAGCAATACTTATGCATTGAACATGTGTTATATTTCCCCCCCCCAAAAATGCATGTTTTTCCTCTCATACATGAGCGTACACTAAACCATGAAGGTCTATTAAATAAAATCTCAATAACATATCATGACATTATTGGTAGCAATTTGGCAAAATGTGGAAAAATTCTAATGTTTTGCAAGCACTTCACAAAGGCACAGAGTCCTCGGGGGGGCACTGCATGGGAAACAGTTTTGCCTCTTTCATCAGCACAGCTATAGTTGATCCAGACTGACTTGGAAAAAAACATGTCACACAATCCAACCAGATGTTCCCTCCAGATGGATCCTAAAAGGGTTTTATGTATGAAATGGCCGTGGATCAAATGAGAAATGTCTTGTGCTTGTGTTCTCTGGACAAAAGCACATTATATGACATATCGTGAGAAATAGTGTTGCACTGAAAATAATGTGATATCTCTTAGCTCAAAAAAGGCTCTGAGGACAGAGTGATGTGCTTACATGTGTGGTCCTTGTTGCAGTATAGAAATGTGCAAAACAGAAGAAGAAAATGAAGCTCTCTATAAATTGCTAAGCATCTAATATATGTTCATTTCCACATCTATATACTGTAATTATCAGGATAATGTAACACAAGACTTTTGTTTTTACATATCTATAAATCAGTAGATCAGTGAAAACTAATAAAATTGTTTCATCAGCAGGTATCTGTCCAACAAGGGTTTGCGGAGACAAACAACTTAAGAACTTACCGATGTTTTTGTTTTTCTCAGTTTGAAACATCTATTGCTTGTACAGTTTAAAAGATCCCTGTAATCCCTGAACAACTCTGCCTTCTATGCAAACACACTTCTATGTAAGAATATTTTATTCATAGGTACTGAGTAATGCTGTAGCTCAGCTGGTGGGATGTGGAAAGCAAATTGACTTGCAACACTGGAAAAATATGGGAAAAAAAGTCTTTATGAAAATATTTATGAGGTGATACTAACCTCACAGGGTGCTAATAAATAAAGAGCAGGAGCATCACCAACCATGGACCATCAAAAATTCTAATAAGGACCTCTTTAAAACCTTTTGCTGTCAATCAAGGAATGCTATTTCAGAACTAACTTATATGTAAACATGCAGCTGCCTAATTACACCGGTGGTTGGCATGACAACAAAAACAACCCTGCTTCATCAGTGGCCTTTAAACAACTAATTTGCAATTTCCTTTGGCAGAAGTCCCCTTTTTTGGCTTTCTAAATATCTACAGCACTTCTATACAAATCTGCTTTACTCAAGTTTTGCTGACTGCAGCCTATATGCACTTTTATGTGTTTTTTTATGTACTGTTTAACACAATAAAGTATTTTCTTACAGGAAAGTTGCTTAGTTTTAATGCAGACATACCACAAAGGAGTAGAGCTGGGAGGAGCGAGCCTTGAGTTCTGGTTTGCATTCACCCACGCACAGCTGAACGGGGCCTGGTCGACTATCCACCGGAGCGGGAGACATCTCGCACACAATCCTATCAGAGAAAAAAAAAAAAAACAAGAAAAATGAACATTAGGACAAACGTGTGATCAAACATATTTTAAAGGGACTGACTGGTAATAGAGAACCTCCCATCCACGCAGGGCCTTCTAAAGGTATCCGAAATCCTTCGGCTTTTCCACACTTTGTCAGGCTTACACTACGACAATATTCTTTCGATTTTTCTATGATCTTAGACAAAAACAAATTAGGACACGGCAGGGACTTGGAAGGTAAAAAATGAGTTTTCAATAATTAAATTCTATTCAGTTTATTTATATAGCACCAATCATAAAACATGTAATCTCAAGGAACTTTATAAGGACAATTTAAGCAGATCATACTGTCAGATTGGTAAAAAATATTTCTATATAAGTAAAACCAGCTGACTGCATTGAGTCACTTACTTTTAGAAACTCCTCTAGGATGAGTTTAAGCTTGCATTTTGTCACTGACTCTCCCTTAACAATAGAAGTCAAAATAGTTTGCAGTGAATTTGATTTATGTCCTATTTACTCTGATTCCCCTAAGTTACACAGCAAAGCCCAATGCTTTGGACACACAACACCGTTTTCTCTATCCTATTAAGAAGTAGGTCCATCTACACCGACAATAGCCCTCAGTCCCATGAATACATAAGGCAGGCAGAAATGCATTGTTGCAAGAGAATGATATGATTTCTCATATGCAGTTTGCCATAAATCATATAGTGGAGATTGGAAGGAAGTTGCTGTATTTGATTGAGACAAAACATTTGGCCTATGGAAAACACTGTTAGAAAAAAATGGACATGGCACAGCATGATGACACAACATGCCCATAGAAAAATAAAGTAATGGCAGCCTCATGCTTGGGGATTCTGTTACAGGCCCAAAAACGCTCCCCTTCCAGCAGGACCAGAACTCTAAGTCATGGTCAAAGGAAAAAGATTCCAAATTTGATATTTACCAAAATCTAATATAAACACAAGAAAAATATTGCAGGAATTGTCAGAAATTCCTGTTTTCCTTCTACTTCATTAAATTTAATAACACTTACAATTAAGTGCCTAAATCTTTGATTCCAAAATAAGAAAATATGGCAATGCCTTGATGTAGGTAAATACTTTGCAAAGCACTGTGAAAATCATATATGCATGACTTAAAACGTCACACTCAAGTTGGCATGTTCCTTCATAAGTTTGAGAAACTAATCAAAGCTCTTATCTGCTTGATATTGATTAATCTTCTAGTGTAATTGTAATCTTCTTCTATTGTTTTATGTATTTCATTATGGGGACACATCCAGGTATCGACCAGGACCCCCTCGACTGCACAATAATGAGCCAGATGATCTTCTTCCTGTGTTATAACATCGAAACTCCAATCAGATTAAGGTACATTGGCCAACCAACATTCCGGCCCCCCCAGGCAGCTCTGCTGTAATGCTAGTGGTGCGACGTTAATGCAAATCATGCAGCAGGATCAATACTGCTCTATCATAGGGTATGATCAGGTGACAAGCAGCGCAGCAGGTGACTAGATCAAATAACATAATAAAGTGAGTATTTCTATCGATCGCTGGTGCCAGGCAGTAATAAAGAACAAGGAGCAATCACAGTTTGCAAAGGGAGACAGAGTGTGTGGCGAAGCAGATGGCAGGGCTTGGTAGGGTGGAGCTGATGAAACAGCAGATGTATTGCTTCTCCAGTACCGATTACCTGAATTAAAACAAATGACTGGGGGGTTGCTGCAGGATGTGGCGGAAAGTGGCTAAAGGAGATGATTTTTTTCCTCCTACCGGTCCGCAAAGGCTCAAACACCCACTCACTTCTTTAAAGCAAATGGCTGCTTTATTATTGGCACTTCGTAAGCTGTAGATTGGTTGAAATATTTGATACATCCTGATAGAAAGAGAATTTCCTCCTAATGATGATTTGGGGTCTTATATCTATGCAGCAGAAGACGAAAGTTTCTAAAGAACAAAAAAAACAAAACAACTGCTGAAGAGACAGCCGATATTTTTCTTCAAAGGAAAAGTGGCTTTCCCCCACTACTCCAAATTCGTCAAAAGAAAGTATAAAATATAAATATGAATATTATTCTTTTCTTTTCTTGTCCAGACTATAATAAAAGGCCTGGTGACTGCATTAAACATAGAAAGAAACACCTTAGATTTGAAGATGACTATAAATAAGCAGCTATGATCTCCACATCAAGACATCAACCCAACTCTTTCATAGTTCCACTAAAGACCTTAAGGGTTTTATATACATATATATACAGATATATATATATATATATATATATATATATATATATATATATATATATATATATATATATATATATATATATATATATATATATATATACACACTCACCGGCCACTTTATTAGGTACACCTCTCCAACTGCTCGTTAACATTTAATTTCTAAGCAGCTAATCACTTGGCGGCAACTCAGTGCATTTAGGCATGTAGACATGGTCAAGACAATCTCCTGCAGTTCAAACCGAGCATCAGTATGGGGAAGAAAGGTGATTTGAGTGACTTTGAACGTGGCATGATTGTTGGTGCCAGAAGGGCAGGTCTGAGTATTTCAGAAACTGCTGATCTACTGGGATTTTCCCGCACAACCATCTCTGGGTTTACAGAGAATGGTCCGAAAAAGAAAAAACATCCAGTGAGCAGCAGTTCTGTGGGCGGAAATGCCTTGTTGATGCCAGAGGTCAGAGGAGAATGGCCAGACTGGTTCGAGCTGATAGAAGGGCAACAGTGACTCAAATAGCCACCCGTTACAACCAAGGTGGGCAGAAGAGCATCTCTGAACCCACATTATGTCGAACTTTGAGGCAGATGGCCTACAGCAGCAGAAGACCACACCGGGTGCCACTCCTTTCAGCTAAGAACAGGAAACTGAGGCTAAAATTTGCACAAGCTCATCGAAATTGGACAATAGAAGATTGGAAAAACGTTGCCTGGTCTGATGAGTCTCGATTTCTGCTGCGACATTTGGATGGTAGGGTCAGAATTTGATGTCTACAACATGAAAGCATGGATCCATCCTGCCTTGTATCAACAGTTCAGGCTGGTGGTGGTGGTGTCATGGTGTGGGGAATATTTTCATGGCACTCTTTGGGCCCCTTGGTACCAATTGAGCATCGTTGCAACGCCACAGCCTACCTGAGTATTGTTGCTGACCATGTCCATCCGTTTATGACCACAATGTACCCAACGTCTGATGGCTACTTTCAGCAGGATAATGCGCCATGTCATAAAGCTGGAATAATCTCAGACTGGTTTCTTGAACATGACAATGAGTTCACTGTACTCAAATGGCCTCCACAGTCACCAGATCCAATAGAGCATCTTTGGGATGTGGTGGAACGGGAGATTTGCATCATGGATGTGCAGCCGACAAATCTGCGGCAACTGTGTGATGCCATCATGTCAATATGGACCAAACTCCCTGAGGAATGCTTCCAGCACCTTGTTGAATCTATGCCATGAAGAATTGAGGCAGTTCTGAAGGCAAAAGGGGGTCCAACCCGTTACTAGCATGGGGTACCTAATAAAGTGGCCAGTGAGTGTATATATATATATATATATATATATATATATACTCTACACATTGCAAAGGAATTTCCTTGCCTGCCCCCATTTAGATTAAAGCGCTGTCAGATCAGCATGCTGCTGACAAATTGTCCCCTAAAGCCAAGTGGCACAATGTGAATTTTAATCACAGCTGGCCAGTCCACAGCTTCAGACATGGTGCTCATCATAATTCTATATGATTTAAAATGTACCGCCGATACTGTATATTGTCATGTTAACATACAAAAAAATGGCCAAAAAGTTATAGAAATGTGTAGATCTGTGTTTATAATTGTCATTTTCTACTGTACCACAGCATAGCAGCGGGAGTATGAGTAAGCAATGGTTAGCTGCTCCCATTCTGAGGGCAGAAGTAGGCCAAGGGAAGAATTAGGGTTATAGTCTCCTCTGAGAGTCTGTATGTGTGGATGGGAATGTGCGTTCGTTCAGTCAGCTGCGTGTGTGTTATCTCACTCTCACAGTACGACATGACACTATGTCAAATAAATGATTATGAATTACTTTAACCATCCACTGAAGTGAGCGAGTAAAACAGTTTTACTACACAGAAAAATCCTATGGGAATATTTGCTCCACTTTTGATTCTCTAAATGTGTTTACAGTCCTCTTAAAACTTAAAAGTAACCAAGATTACAACATGTAGAAAGTCATTTTAAGTGAAGCAATATTTTCCCTCTGTAAATTGTTGAAAAAAAAATTACCTTTAATTTATTTGTATATATATATTTTTTTTTAGAAAAAAAGGAATAGTAAAATCTTTTCCAGTAAGATCCTGATACCATGCATGTTCACCACAAAGGAATTATATTTGACAGATTGCTGTGGATGACTCTAACATACAGTAAATACCATCTAACACAAGATATATTTATGGATCACACAGAAGGCTGCTCATAATGAGCCTGGTAAGGTTGGCAGTTTTCTCATGTTAAAACTGAGTTTTCCTCCCCACTGCCGCTGCATGTATCCTCAGTGTGAGATTGCTGAGTTAATTACTTTCAGATATTTTCTCACTTATCAAAACATCTGTCTTACTTGAAAGGCACTGGTTCTTATATTTTTCCATTTTGAAGAGACATAAATATCTGTGTCAGGGGACAGGAAGTCACTGACCTCTAATCAAAGGTTCTTAGGATCTGTGATCTACTTAATAAAGTTAAAATAAAACGATAATTTCATCAACATAATAGTGTGTCACTGTTACGTATTTTAATTGGGGCACAAGCCGTGATTTTGAAATAAAAAATGGATCTGGCTCTCAGTGATAGATTGTTCACTGTATAAATTATCACAGACTATGAAAACAGTACCTATTTTTAAGATTGTATTCCTTATAACTGCTTGAAAACTGGGGTTGAAGTTGTGTGTTTCTTTTCTAAGCATCTTTTCAAGAAATGTAATAAAACTCAAAAACTAGAGGTAACTTAATTATTTCTAATGTGAAAATTACCAGCGCACGTTTCAAAATTCGATTCAAGCTTAAGTGCATTTCCTTATGTATCCTGTGTGAGACCTGAAACACCTAAAGATATTTAAAAGCCGAAAGGCATTTGGTCTCTGAGTCAACAAAAGACTGCATGTTTAGCCAGGAGCAAGATGATGGGTGAGTTGTGGGCCATGTTTCATTAGTTCAGGGTGAGTGGGACAGGATTTAATGTGATGTACACTCAGCATGGGGCAATTAGGGAAGTAAACACAAGTAAACACACACAGCTGTTGTGGGATTGTTGCTGACTGAATTAGAAACATTGAGAGAAATGGGTTACCGTCCTGCAGGGGTCTAACTGCAAACTCCGAAACACGCTCCTTGGAACAGTTCCAGTCTTCATTAAAGGAAAGCAACTTGCAGTCTCTTTGTGCACATATCGATTCAATTCTTAGCTGTTCCAGGTTATAAATTGTTTCTAAAAACTGAAAGCTAGATGTTGTGTAAAATGACCGTTAACGGTTGGTTTTAAAAATGACTGTAACACGGACGGCGTTATAACTCCTGAAAACGTTGGAGTTTGCTTAACTCTATGTGGAAACAGGCTATAATATAATATTATTTTTCTGATTACGTCAGGTAGAAGTAGCCTACAAGCAAGCATTTGCTGTTTTGAACAGAAAACTTTGATAACAAAAATCTGATCAATTGAGTATTAAGATCACTGAGTGAATTCTAATTAATTTATTATGCATCTGTGAGGCAGAAGATAAAAGCAACTTAGGCAAATACTGTTTTGTAGTTGTCATGGGCATAGTTTAGGTGTCTATTTAGATAATTATCTCATAATTATATGCATAAATTCATATATCTCAAAACAGGAATTGGATTTCAGAAATTAAGTAAAAAAACTGGACAAAAACAATGAACTATGATAAAAAATAAATAAAAAAAGGCTGAGAGGCACTGAAAATCCGCCTAGTCTGAAGCCTAGAGATTTTCTGCTAGATTAGATCTAATTCCCTGCAGACGGATAAGTTGAGACAGTCCGGTAGAAAACTGCAAAGAGATGGATGTTACATTTTATGATAGATATTCTCATTTTCAAAAATAGGACATCATCTTCCAGTATTTCAACTTAGTCTGGAGAGGATAATGTGATATGTTGCAGGACAAGCCGTGCTGTGTATGGTCAGCTGGAAAATGAAGATTTCCACAGAAAAAATATGTCTTTCTTGGTATTGAAAGGTTATAATAATGATTGTAAAATTAGGTGAAAACAGTAAGCTTAGAAATATGAGGTTGCACACTTTGATGGGAAGTTATAAGAAACAGCAAGAAATAAACACAAATATTTTTTTTCCCCTGTTGTACCTGACAGCTAAAGCTCAAAAGCTAAAAAGATTTCTTAGGAGATCAAACATTACAGAACAACCATTAAGAGATAAGTTAAAAAAATCAATCTAAGTTAAAAAGGAAAGACTAAGAAACAAAACTGTGATTAAGAGAAATTGGCTTTTCAGGAATGAAGGAACAAGATATTTCTGCAAATACTGACACTTTACTTCACACCGTATTTAATAATCCGATTTCTATCTAAACTTAGACTCAGACAACTTTAATGTCATTTTGTATACACAGAATGCATATGAAACGAAATTTAGTTTTATACAGTTTTGAAACAGTAAATGAGGAGCAGCTTGGCAGTGAAATTAAATGAACATTTCTAATAATTATAATATTACCATGATCAAATCTGCAATTTTAAATAATTGTTGAATATTCATTTTTCAACAATAAAGTAAAATACATTTTTATTTACAAAAAAAGAGGTTAGAGCAATAAAGTCACCAAATGTAATCGGCTGGAAGGAGCCAGCCAGACAGATACCAATTTGTTTTTGTTGTTTTTTTGTAAAATGCATCAAGTCTGAAACTCAAAGGAAAAAACCCATTAGCTAATTATCCTGCTTTTGTGACTTACAGTTCAGCGATGATGTAACCTTCCTCCACAGGGCTGCATCTGACACCTGCCACCTCCACGTTGTCCACCATGTCTGAGAAAGCAAGACCAAGGTTTGTGCCATGGATGGTCACCCGAGTGCCACCCTCTGGGGGTCCAGCTATTGGAGTCACCTAAAGGACACAAAAAAGCAATTTGTCAAAAGAGTTGTGCATTGCTTTAATTATCACAAAATACAGAATGCATATTTTTTGTAAATGCTTAATACTTTGCATGTGTTAAGGGATTACAATACTCTCCTTACTTCTTAAAGTAAGGAGAGTATAGTCTAATAGGCATGAAACACTGGTCTTCAGCTAAAGAAATATTTTGTGGCCACCTTTCCTCAGAAGTTTAATGTTTACTGGGGATTTTTACTGTCTTCCTGTGGCTCAAACCAAGCTGAACGCAGTGTTTTTCATTGCAAACATGCCCGCTGAGGAAGATGAGGAAAACTATCCAGTTTTTCACCTGATCAAAACTTGTTTGTCACCAACAGAACAGTCTGAAACCTACTGCTGTTTGCCAAGGTGCCGCTGTGAGGCACTGAAACTGTGCCGCACTGGTCTGGCCACTGTTTTGAACATTCCTTAGAGACCTTTTAAACTTAGTCTAATAAAATGGGGGATGTGTCTATCATTTACCTTGTGCTTAGTTTCAGTAGTGTGTAGTGTTTGCATAGTTATTAGATATAATTATACAGTAATAAGGATTATTACACCCGGGGTACTCTGTTATAATTTATAAAGTGAATGATCTATCACTCAGAGCCAGATCCACCCCTTTTGGTTACCAATTGAAGAACACAGACACTTTTCTTTGGTGATTGTTAATAACTCTGCTGATAAACATAGTCTTATTATTAAATGGGTGAAAGAAAACTAGATTTTAACAGCCAGTCCAGAAGTCTAACCTTGGATAGAAGACTAAAGAACTCTGGTGAGTAAGCAGGTTTAAGCTATAATAATTGAACTAATAATCATTAATTGGTTTTACCCTTGATTTGAATGACCTATTAAGTAACCTCGACTAGATTCTAGTTATTCTAGTTATTTATAATCTGCTTGTAAAAGTAAACAACACATTGATGCTCATGCACATCGGACTAACGATGCTGATCTGAACGCCAGGTTTGGGAATAAGAGGTTTAGTTGTAAGCAGCACTTTAGCTAGAGTTGGCTTGCCGAGATCTTTGGATCCCTATTTAGGTTGTTTACTTTTTAGACCTCAAAGCTTCTGGTCTAACTTGGATAGCTCATCCTATAAATCTTCACTTTGTAAACTCATTCTTAACATGGTAATTTTGCTTTAATTTCTTTTCACTCAGACGATGAGTAATGATGCCTGGTTTTGGCTGTCCAAAGGTTGAACTTTATCATTATCTCTGGTTAGTGTTTCCAGGTGCCTTATGTTCACTCTTTTCTCACTTTATTTTTCATTTTTGACATGAAAGTGAATAAATGATGTATTTCCCATTTAAAAGTAAACCACTAAGAAATTTCTTTATTGTTTCTTACAAATAAAGATAGATTAGTGCAATGCTACTTCACCAGTTATTTACCTCACTCACATCGCACTCCAGCCTGCACTAAAACAACAACCAGTTATTAAGAATCCCTTTAATGGACACTAATTAAATAAAATGAAATGCACAAGAAATAAAAGGGATTAACAGCACCCTGGATAAATGCTTGATCAGCATCTACTCCTGTTATCATTAATGGCTAATCTAACAAGGGGCATTATTAATGGCTACTGCAGACCACCAACTCATAAACTGCAATATGGCTTCCCAGCATGACCTTGGCACAGTGTGGCAAAGTGCCTTCTGTGCTGCAGAAATACATTAAGAACTCCACTTGGCATTCACCCAGCCCTTCAAACAAACAAACAAACAAAAAAGACTGATTGAGAAAAAAACAAACAAAAAACACAAGAATGTATAAATGCTGCTTGTCAGAGAGAGAAAGCGTAAAGGACAAACAAAAACTTAAGAAGACAGGGGTTGTAGCTTGGCTGTGTGCATCTGCTAGTGCAATGTAAACAATCAATATGTTATTACTGGCCATTCATCCGAAAACACAAAACCAACACGTAGTTTTACCCGATCGCTGCTGTGCCACTCTCCCCTGTACACCCAATGGATCTTTGTGGCTTCCCTGTGGGACGCCAGCGTTGTAATCTAGCAACAGTGGACATTATTTGTCTGGATGTAGAGTAACAGTGTCACTGCATTGCCTTAGGCATCTCAACACATTAATCTTTTAGTAATGTTGGGACATGGAGGATATGGAAGGTCGGAGAAACAACATAGCTTAAGTATATCATCTTTTCAAGTAGAATTAATGAGGTTTACACAAGCATTATAGTGTCCAGAGAAAACAGATAGAGGTCTGGGAGTAAGTTGGGTGGTGCCGTTGGTGAGAGACTCAACCATTCTGTCCCATAAGCCAAGATGGGTAACAGGTGAGACAGACTTTGTTTTGTTATACCAAAGGCGGGAATGCTAAAAGCTTGAGATATCTCTTTTCTACCCTCCCGTTTGCAATGGAGCCTTTCATATGGTGGAAAAAGAAAAGTAAGTCTAATCCATGCATGAAACTGATTTGACTGAGCTCGCCATTGGCAGACAGAGCCTTGATTCATCAGGATCACAGAAAATCAGCCACTTCAAAGGCGCACGCCACCAGTGTCTCCAGGCTGCAAGCCTCTTTGTCTCAGCATTGCTTGTATACAAAAAGGGGCTAAATCTAAAAAGGATCCTTTCTGCAAAATATTCTGATTTGATTGACTATAAATCAGATTCTAATTGCTTTTTAAAAAGGAAGGAATATAAGAAGATGATAATCTGTTTGGCAGGTCATCTCTGAATCTAATGGTTTATTTTATTACATTGTCAACAGTACCTACAGTCATTATGAACCTCTTCCCATTTACTGTACAACCAAATACATAATTTTTACATATTACGAGGTCTTTATATGACAAACCAGCACAAAGGACAATTGTAACGTTGAGGAAAAATTATACAGGCTTTACCAACTTTCTTTTTTTCTTTTACAAATTAGTACCTAAGAAATTATAGAATGCATTGGTATTGGGGAGTCAACAAAAATCTATAGTTTTTAGAGCTACCTTTGGTTGCCAAATAATCTGCACAAAAAGCTCAAGCTCAGGCAGTTTGGATTGTCTCCAAACAGCAAATTTAAGTTTTAAATTTCAAGATTCTTAATAGGATTTAAATGTACACTTGAGTGGACCATACAAACCATCTGGAGATTTTTAAAGCAATCAGTCTAGTTCAGCTCTGACTATATAGTATGTTTATAATTGTTTACCTTTGTCAAAGGTATGGTGACTTTTTATTTCAAATGAGAAAAAAGCTTCCCACATCATGAAACTGCCGCTGCCATGTTTAACTGTGGGGATTGTGTGTTTAGGCTAATATGATGTGTTCCTTTTCTACTATGTATGTTGTATGGAGTCAAACCTCAATGATTGTTGTGTCCACTTACAGCCAGTGACAAACTGCAGCTTGTAACTTATGTGGCATCATAACAATAATAAGTTTCCTCAGAAAGCTGTGGCGTGTATGAGCCGTAACATTCTTCCATTTCAGCTGATGATCTTTACATTTCCTTGAGAGTTATTGTATGCCTCTGGACTGCTTTTCTGATTGATTCTCGCCTTGTTCAGCCTGCCAGTTGAGTTAGTTGGTCATAACTTGGTCTGCAGTTGTGACCTGCTTTCCTTCTTTTAGTTAATACAGTGACCAGATCTTAAGAATAGAATAGAAAATCACCTTATTGTCCCACAATGTGGAAATTTATGGGGTTTACAGCAGCAAAATGATTATAGAAAAAAATGTTCACACTAATATGGACCTTAGAAAATAAATCTATGTATGCTTTCTTTTGAATTCTATAGAAATTCCTCCCTGACCTGTCCAATGTGCTTCTCTGTGTTTATAATGCTATTTATTCATAAAGTTCTTTTAAATTTGGCTTTTTTATAGCTTGTGCAAAAATGTATTGTAGACCCAAATGCCAGTGGTTAGTTAAATAACGTTTTAAATCTCACATGCTTGCGATGTAGTATCTTACTTGAAAGCAAAGATCTTCTAGTTTCTTGAGGTATGTGTAAAACCTCTGTAAGTTTAATATAATTTGACAGATTTAAAACATGTCCAAACAAGTTGTGACAAAATGTGGGAAAGTTCGAGCTGTATGAATATCTTTTTAAGGGACTGTATCTGAGGTAAAGTAACATGTGATTTCTTCTGCCAAACAGTAACTTACATGTTTTTCTCACCATGCAGACTTTCAGACATGCATGCACCCCCTGTTGCCCTTATTCCCTTTTCTCCCACCCAGTGCTGCCATTCCACGCTCCCAGTGTAATCCTTTTACCAGCCCTGCTGCTGCCTGTGTGGCATTGTCACACTGTCAATGGAGGGTAATTCCCAGCTAACAGCAAGCGTGCTTACACAGTGCTCTTCCTGCTTCCTATTAGTTCACTTTCTCTAGTCTAATTTATCTCCTTTAAACACAGAGCATCAGATTATTGGCCCCCAATTTCCTTTGACATTCCATCGTAATTTCCCCAAAAGCATAATGCCAAGAGATTGTCTAAAGTGAATAAAGACTCTTTTAAATCTTCAACAAAGAAAACATTTCAAAAGAAATACTTTTTAGGAAACTATACATAAAAGTTAGAGAGGGAGGAAGAAACAGCCTTCTGATGTGAACAGCCTGGGGCTGACTGTCAGTGTGGTCTTGACGTATTAAGCTGAAGTAATTGTAGGAAAAGATGTGCTGATGCAGCTATGAATAAACTCAATACACACAGTAGAGAGTGACACACCACTTCAAGTGCCTTCAGACCATGCAAGTCAGACATGTCATTGCTTCAACACTTGCTGATTTCTGCAAGAAAATTCAGAAATAGCATTTAATCATTGCACCTATCATTAAAAGTTAGCATATCAGCACTATTTCTCATGTTCCTGTTATTTGAAAAACACAAATTTCTCATTTTTTTTTGCTTTTTTTCCGGGTTTCCAATCCTTTCACATTATATTTAGCTTAGATATACAACCAAATTTGACACGGTTTAAAGCTTGCAGCTAATCTAA